TGAAAATAACAACCTTTATAAAAAAAAATAGATATGTATTATTTTTATTTTTAAATTGTATACTTTTTTAATAAACATTTTTTTTAATTTTTAATATTTCTTTGAAATTAATTTATAAAGTATCCATTATAATATTATTATTGACTCTTTGTTAAACATCAGTACTATGCCGTATGAAAAAAAAAATATGTATTTTCTTTAAAATATATTTTTATAAGAAACAATAAATATATGATCAAAATATTACCGTTCTTTTTTAATTTTTATTGTAACAAAAATAAATATATATAAAAAGTTGCTAACTCGTGCAAAATAAACAATAAGATAGGTATCCAAGGATATTCATAATAAATATATATAATAAAATGTATGTATTAATATGTATACATAAAAATACATAAAAAAAAATTATAATTTAATTTTTTTTTCTTAAAAAGTATAAATTATTTTTTTTTTTTATTATATTTTAATGAATAAAAAAAAAATTAGGCCTTCTATTTAAATATAATTTTATTAGGTTTTTTTTTTTTTTTGCATAAGTTATTTAGAGGGGATAATAGTTTTCGTAAAAATATAAAAAACGTAATAAATAATTTGATATAAATTACAAAATACTTATATTATTTTAAATAAAGCAATTATATAAAATTTATATAATTATTTACAATAATTAATTTTATAATAAATAAAACAACTAAATATTCATATACAAGCTCTTTATTAATTTTTTAATATTTTTCTTAATATTTTGAATAGGTCATAAATAATTTAATATCTAAAGATAAAAAATGAAAAAGTTATAATTATCAATAAAAATTCATATAAAAAGTTTTAAAAAATTTATTCTTTTATTTTATAAATATAAATATTATTAAATCGATTGATATATTTATTCACACAAGCTTATTATATTTTTTTTTAATGTCTGAATTTCTGAAGCTTTTAAAAAATAAGTTTTCATTATTTTTTTTATTACCTTTTCAATAAAAATAATAGAAAAAATAATATATCAAATAGTCATTTATAAATAATAAAAAAATATATATATATATGGTTAATAAAAGATATTATTAACCTTCTTTAGATTAAAAAGTAATAGTTATATGGGAAATGAATAGCCATGCGAGAGATAGATAAAAAAAAAAAAAATTAGTTGTTAATTTTTTTTATTTTCTTTTTGTGATGTTAAAGTATATTAAAAAAAATATATTTATTTTCTTTTAAGATGATTTAATGGTAGAAAAATAGAAGAAAAAGTTTCTCACTAAAGAGTTTCTTGTGATACATTTTGTTTAAATTTATACAATAAAATTTTATATTGATGAAAATAAGACTTTTATGCTTTGTAGTATGTGAATAATATATTTTGTATTTTATTAATTTAACAGAAATGTTTGAAATTTTTAAACATCACTCGTAACATTATAATAGAATATACGTAATTAGAATTAATAATAAGGATTTAAATTTTTAATGAAAATATAGGATTTTTATTAAATAAATGTCTCTTTCAAAATAAAGGATGCTCAACAAAGTATACTACATAAATACAGTTTACTGATTAATATCATTCAAATTATACTAAAATTATACTAAAATTTATTAAATTATTAGAAACGTTTCTATATGCTCTTTATTAACATATTTGTTCGATATTCTAGGAAAGTCATCTAATAGGTAATTAATTAATCGACATATCAATATATTTAACAATTTCAACATATAAAAAATAAATAAAAATAACCTTATATTATCAACTTTTATGGAAAAACAATAATATTTAAAAAAATTAGAAGAATAACAATGAATTTGTATAAATAATAAAAATAATATTAAATTTATGTTTTTGAACATTATATTATGAATTTTTTTTCACTATTATTTTTAAATTATATTTATGTATTAAAAATGTAAATCTTATGATACTTATTTTTATATCTATGAGAGTCTTCATTTATAATAAAATTAACTTTTTCAAGAAATATTTGCATTAGATTATAGATAATCTTAATTGTTAATAAAAACATGATACATGAAATTCAGTTATAAAATTTTTTAAGTTCCCTATATGAAGTTCTCATAAAAAATAATTTCAAAAGACTATATATTAATATTTAATGAAATAAAAAGCAGATTTATTAAATTGTGTTTATATCTTTTTAAATAAATTCGAAAGATAGCCTTATAAGTTAAACACACAAGTTATGCACGCTCTTATTGAGCTTTATGATAAGAAAAAGTCTTAATAGATAAAAATAAAATATTTAAATAAAAACCATATAAATGATATTTTTATTTTTTTACCTGATGATAAAAAATTTACCTAATTGAAAAAAAAATTGCTCTACATTCCTCTAAAAAAAGAGAATCTTTTTTTTTATTTTACTTTATTCACTTGTAAAAATTTTTAAGTTATATAATGGTTTAATTTACTCACCTATGAGAAAATTAAAATATGCTTTATTTTATAGATTTTAATATTTTCCTATAATTCTGAAGAATATTATTGATATGTATATTCATCATTTATAATTAATATATTGATAATGGCAATAATCATTAAAAATCACATATGTAGTAAATACATATGTTAATGGCTGAATATATCAATAAGAAAGGATAATATGGAATAGTTTTTTTGGAGATTAAAAATGTAATGTAATATAAATGAATGATAATTGTTCTTATTAATATGTATGTGTATGATTAATAAGAAGACATTAACTTTTTTTCTACATTGGTAAGGTTATATCAAGATGTATAGAAAATAGAAATTATGTACACATCTATAGCATTTATATTTATCTAAATATTAAATAATAGGATCTTCATTAAATTAAAGTGTAAATTATTTATTTATTATTTTTATTTTAACTTTTATTTTTTATTAATGATTATGACAAAAAATAATTTTAAGTTTTTATTATTATTTTATTTTTTAGAAATAGTGATGATAAAAAAAAAAAAAAAAAAAAGAATAAAAAAAACATCTTTTTTTTATTACTTTTTTTATTTCTTTATTTTTTTGGGAATAAACAATTGAAAAATATGGTAGTAAAGAATTTTGTTACTTTTAAAAATAAAAATTTTATACATTTTTATTCAGAAGATTTTATTATTTTTGTTAGGATCTATATTTTTTTTTTAATATAAAATGTTTAGATTTCTTGAATATGTAAATAGGAAAAACTTTTAATTTTTATATCTGAATTTGTTACAGGCCCATCAAATATAAATAGATAAATAAGTAATACGATATCTGTTAAATTATAAAATTGTAACAATGGTTGTAATTAGTAAAAATTTTACATTATTGATGAAAAATAAATGTACAAAATTTCTTTGATATTGAAATAAAATCGAAATAAAAATGATTTTCTCAAATATATCCACTTTTAACAAATAAATAATACTGCAATAAACAATGCAGGAAAAAAATAAAGAAAAAATAAAAACATAAATAGTGCACATTATATAGTATAATTATAATAACAATAATGATGACAATTGTATATATATATATATATATATATATATATATATATAATATTAAATGAATTTAAGATGATGTAAAGTCTTGGTTACATAAGTCTTTTATTTTATAAATAAATAAAATTTAACTAAAATTATTATTATAAAAAAAGAATAAAACTGTAAAAATAGAAGATAGTGCATAGACTTTAATGTTCACAATGATAAATAAAAAAAATTTAGGATATAATAATGAGTGGGTTTTAATGGTATATAATATTATAACAGTGAAATAGTTTAACATTAATACCATAAGGAAGTTAATGTGCACCAATTACACATAAATAATAATTTTAATAAAGAACAGTTAATGAAGATAACATAAACAAAGAATAATAATGAAAAAGAGTAAAGATAGAAGAAAAAAAATACATTTAAAATAAAGAAAATTATAGGGATTCAATGTTTCTTGATTTCATTTATTATGTATATTTAATAAAAAAGAAAAATGTAGAAAATTAGAAAAAAATTTAAAACTTTTTCTGAATTTTGAAATGGATCCGCAATGAAAAAATGTAAAATTTGTATTTTTCACAGTTTAATTGGTTTCTTTTATATGAGAAAATAATATGTTTAATTTATTTCCTAAAAAAATATATATTAATATAATTTTCTTAATTATAATTCACAAAACTAAAATTATTTATAAATTTAGAGATAATATATTTTCTTCTAATTGATTAATGAATTATGAAGAATTTATTCATTCATAATATATTCAATTTTTTTATAATCTTAATTTTTTAAGTGGTATATATATTTATCAGGTTTTGTGTTAAAAATTTTATAGTTTAAAAATAGTATAAAAAATTCCCCTATTTTTATAAATGTAATATTAAACAAAAAGGATTAATTGGTTTTTTTTTCCTTTAATTAGATTGATTACAAGTTGTGGTAATATTATAAAATAAAGTCACTTTCTTTTATGTTTTATTGTTCGAATTTGTGAATTTCTTTCTTTCATTTAAAATAAGTATGTTATTTTTTCTAAATCTTTTTTACCTAAATGTTTATGTGTATAATTTTTTTTTTTTTTTTTTATGTATAATTTGCGTTATTTGTTGACATAATATAATTAATTTAATCTACTGTAAAAAATATATATTCTTGAATATTATTTTTTGTAATTCAAACGTTTTTAATTAAATAAATTTATATCTTATATTTTATTTATGGTTTTTATATAAGCTATCAATTTATACTCCTTTTAAATTTCATTTAAATTTTACAACCTTTTATACTTTGTATGTATGTATATAATTTTATTATTTATATAATATTTATTTTAAATAATTTTCTATGAATTAAGAAGATATAGGTTCAGTATTATTGTACAGGTAACGGAAGATATTCTAAACATATATTTACATAAGGGGTATGTACATACTAGAATTAAAAAAAAAAATAAGCTATTGTTTTGAAACTTTAATTAAAAAAAAAGAGGAAAATATAATGGCACTAATTTAAATATGAAAAAGTTATTCTTAAAGGTAATTCTTTTTGATATTCCACTGATCCTTTTTGGTAGAAAAGCGTATATGTATAAATATATTCATTAATATTTATATATCTCATATATGCTTTAAAAAATTAATTTATTTTTGTAATTTGCAGAAAATTACTTTAATATTTATTATGCGTATATATATATATATATAGGTTTATGTAATGGAGGAAATAATGGAAGAGAATTAAATAATTTAGAAGATCTTATAATAAATACACCAATTGATTTTCATTTGGAAAATAGAAACAACAAAGAGGATATTGATAAATTTTCATATAATTATGATTTAAGAGAAGATTATTACAATAAAATCAGAGATAACGTAAGAACTGAAAGTAAAATTCCATCAGATTTATCCAAAAATATATTATATAAAAACATAAGAGGTAATAGTGAAGAGAATGAAACTCATAATGAAATACTCAAAATACCTTTTATAAGAATGTATAAAAATAAATTATATATACAACAAAGAAAATTACTAAATATGAAAAATAAATTAAATGATATTCATATGACTTTAAGTGATAGAATTTCTAAATTTTTTATTATACCAGAACCACAAAATTAATCTATTTCAAGAAATGGATTATGGAGAAAATGAAATATATGATTTAAAATATAAAAATAGTAGTGAATATGTAAATCTTATCATTTATAATCAAAAAATATTAAGTTTCAAAAAAAAAAAAGATAATTTCAAAGAGAATTTTATCAAAATTATTTTTTACCAATTATATAAAAAAACATAGCTCTTTATCATTAATTGAGGGTATAATTAATATTTCTATGGATTCTATATATTTTATATATAGAAAAAACGGATCAATTAATAATGTAAAGAAATACCTAATTACACACAAACCAACTAATAATTACATTGCAGAAAGCACTTTACATGAAGCTAAAGAAATATAAAATCATAATGAGAATTATGAAGTGAGTTCTTAAGGTGGCAATTTTTTCAGTAGTTCTATGGTTAAAATAATAATTGGTATATTAAGTTTTTTATTTGTATGTTCAGGTAAAATTTTTGCATTATTATATAAAAAATCGATATTCAAATATTAAAATTTAAGGAAATAAAAAATATAAACCAAATAAAGAAGAAAAAAAATTGTATATATTAAATAAGATGAAAGTAATTAGTGTATCTTTTTCTGAAAATGGAAATTAGGAAAAAAAAAAGAAAATATATTAAATCATCATTTTTGGTCTTAACTAATATAACTTTAAAACAAATTCCCTTTAAATATATATATTTACTTGATTTTTAATTTATTATATTTATATAAATTATTTTTATTTATTTTTTTTGCACATTTATTTTTATTTTTTACTACATAATATATGCTATCTTTTTTGTCTTTTTAATTTTAAAATATTTTCTTACAATTTTATGTTAGTTATTTTTAGAGAAGAAAAAAAATAAATAAAAATAAGATTATCTTTATTATATTTAATAAAAAGTACATTTATAACCATAAAAATATTTAAAACTAACATTAATGACTAAATAAATTTCTATTTATATATAATCAAAAATATATAAAGAATAAATAATAAAACAATAATATTTAAAATTTCAGAAAAAAAAAAAAATAATGTATGAAGATTATTTTTTTCTAAATTGTACAAAATAAATATTAAAAATTTTAGATATTAAAATAAGTATTAAGTTACCAGATTAAAAAAATAGTGTTAATGAAAATTTCAATAATTTTATTATATAATATTTTTTATAGAAAAATATTAACAGAAAACATATATACTTTTTTATTTTAACACAAAAAAAAAAAAAAAAAAAATTTAAAAAGAAAAATGTTCTATCATGTGAATTAAAAATTCATTATAAATGATTTATTAATTGTCAGTTAAGTGTCTTTTCTATTATTGAACAAACATATATTAATAAAGAGTATGTAGAGAAAACTCTACTTTATTTATTATAAAATAACTAATGTAATAAATTATTTATATTTAATAATTTATATAAAATATTAACTATTTTAGTTATTTATTATGTTAATTTACACAACGCTCTATCAATGTAATATTTCATATTACATTTTTAAATTTCACAAAACCTAAACATATACCTTCTTATATAAGAAAAATAAAAATAAGAAAAATCGTTTTTTTTTTTTTTTATCTAAGTTATTTGAAAAAAAAAATTATCATCTATTTATGCTTCAATTTTTACATAGTTTTTTTTATTTTTTTTTTTAGTGAACTTTTAGTATATACATCTAGGTGTGATCATTTCCTTTTCTCATATTTAGCATGCTCAGACAAAAAAATTATATTTAATTAAAAGATATTCAAAACATCATTTAAAACAGCTATATAATACCATTTATAGACAAATAATGTATATATGAGTGGTGATGAATATTAATAACTTTTTTAATACATAAATTGGTAATGTAATGTATTTTTAAGAGAACAATTATATATACACACAAGGTAATTAGAGAAACACGCTAATATGTTAGATAAACATATTAATGTGTAGATATATATATTAAAGAAAAAAAAGAAAAAAGTATTTTTCTTCTTTTGTAGAATTACATTTGTATGACAATATTTTATTTTGACTTTTTTTTTTTTTTTTTTTTTTTTTTTTTTTTTTTTTTTTTTTTTTTTTGTTATTTTTATTTTAAAATTAATTCAATAATTTATTAATTTTAGTGAAATATTTTAATGGTGATAGTTAATTTTTGATGAACTACTAGGGTGTTTTTCAGTATAAATATATTTTATATGGAATAATTAATTGGTAAAAAATAAAGGTTATTTTATGTAATAATAAAAAAAAAAAAAAAGAGAGGTGACTTTTTTTTTATTTTCATTTTTCTATTTCAAAAAGAAATATATTTTTTCTAAGAAATATTATTAATTTTTAGAGAATAAATTATATTATATATATATAACAAAATATGTTTATAATGAGTATTTCAATTTTAATAAAAATAAGTTTATATGAAGTCATATTGATACCTTTTATAAAATAACTAATATGTTTACAATAATAGAAATGTTAAAATATTTTTCTTCAAAGAATTAATATGTTAAATGAAATAAATTATTTATTTTTCCATTATGCAAAATAATTAAAGATTAAGTATACGTTACAAAAGTATTTTAATGATAGATGAAATTAGTATAGATCATTCTATGTTGTTTTTATCATTTTATTTGTTTGATAATCCATATAAGTTGCTGAATAGTTAATTTTTACGTGAAAATATGAATTATTTTTTTATTTTATTTCCTTGTGAATTATTTGATGGAGAATTTTTTATTGTTTTAATTTTTTTTTTTTTTTCTTTTCTATAAAATTTTTCTTTTTTTATAAGATATATAATTACTTTTTAATTTTCTATTATTAGTTTTTATAAATTTGAAAATATTTTCAAAAGGTTATTCATGTGAAATATAGAATATTTTTTAAAATATTTTAATACATTTTTTACACATTAAAAATATAATAAAAATATTTTTATGTAAACATAAGAATTTATAGTAATTTAATATTTATTTTATTTTTTTTTTTTAGTTTTAATCTTACATAAGTTATACACATAAGGAAAAAAATAATCCAATTAATTGAATATTTGAATAAATATATAAATAAAAAGATGTATGTTTGAATATATAAGTATATTTGTATAATGTTTCAACATATTGAGTAAAAATATAAAATTAATTATAATATTCTGAGGCACTAATTATTATTTTACCAAAAATAGGAATTAAAAATAAAAATATGATTATAATATATTCAATAAACGGTATTATAGACTTCTATGAATTTTTAATAGGAAGAAGTAAAGTATAGCTAAAAGTATAATTGTGTATACAAGAAACTAAACAAAATACATAAGCATAAAAAAAAATAATATATATTTTTTTTAATGCTATTTTTTTTGAGTGTTATATTTTATATATTTATTTTTTATCTAATTTAAAGCTTTTTATGAAACACAAGTATATGAGAAAAAAGTGGTAACTTTTGAGAGGAGTTTTAATAAAAACACAAGTGAATTTTTTTTTTTTTATTAAACCATATGAATTGTTTTCTATGAATTAATTAGCATTTTATTAGTAAATAGAGTATAAAATAAAATATAAATATAATTTATTTTGAAAAATTACAGATTTTATTAAGAAAATACTTATTTCATTTATACCACATAGTCAAATGAGGATTATATATAATCTATAATAAAAAATTATATAAAAATTAAAATTAGAAGAGACATTTCTACATGTTCTTTATTAATTTTATTATTATAGTAGAAACATAATTCAAGAGACAATATATTGTTAAATAAAGTTTAATCATCATTTAAAATTATAATACAAATAAAATAAAATAATAAAATTAACAAAAAAAAAGGACTTGTGTTTTTTTTTTTTTTTTTAATAAGAAAAAAATATAAAAAAAGAAAGTTAGAATATATAGTAAAAAGTTACGAAGAAAAAAATGGAAGTCTTTTTTTAATTGGAAAATGGGGAATAATAAATTAATGAGCTAAGTTAAAAAAAAAGTTTCATTAGTATATTATAAAATTTTGAAAAATACAATAAAAAGATGAAAACTTTTTTTTTTAATTCTATTATAGGAAAGAGGTGTAATATATATAACATAACACAATGTTTTTTTTTCAAATCGAATAAAATAAAAAAAAAAAAAAAGGAAAAAACTATTTTTAACTTTATTTAATAATAAAATTGAAATAAATTCACACAAATTAAGTTTTAAAAAAAAAAATGTTATAAAGTTATGTAAAAAGAATTGGTTTGAATAGAAATAAATGGAATTATATTGAATTAAAGAAAAATAAATTCTTATATAACTAATAGGAATGTATATTGTTTTTAAACAAAAAAATGACATACTTATTTTTATGAATTCTTGAACAATGTTAAAAAAGAAACTACAAGAGTTATTCATTTTACGTTTAAATCAAAGACATTTTAGAATTAAATATACAGTAGGACCAAATTTGATAATTAATTTTACACTAATATTCAAATAAAATGTTTAAAAAAATTCAGGATAAATTAATGCTATATCAATATTAAGAAAAAAAAAGTAGATCATCCAAATATTTAAACAAAGCTAAGATCAAAATAAAATTATAGTAACTTAAAAATAAGGGATAAAATGAAATTAAGGATGTGAAGTACTAATAAAATTCAAAGTAAAAGTGAATTATAATCAGAATAGAGAAACAGTAAAAAAGTAGAAGTTAATATAAAACTTAAGGTGAAACTATATTAACAGAAATTAAAAGTTAAATTTGAAGTTACATGAATGTTGTAGTAATTCCCTATATATATATTTATAAAAAAAAATATCATAAAATACCAAATTAAAAAATTTTCTTATATAATTAAAAAAAAATTATAAGAAAATAAAAAAAAAATATATAAGTTTAAATAAGGCAAAAAAAAGAAATTTATTTTAAAAGAATTGAGAAGTTTAAAAAATAAAATAAACAAAAATAGTTAAAAAAGATAATTTCGCATAAGGATTATATATTATAAAGTCAATTTAGTAAT